GCTGTGTTCATCCAGCTCTATACCTTGTTATCTAAGAGTATTGTATATATTTGTAGCAGTATTGTAAAGTAGTCTCACTAATGATGACCATGTACTTATCATCGATTTGTCTTTAAAAGCTTGTACACTCAGGGAAGGAAATCTACTATTCTTACTCAGTCTAGCCTATGTGCAATTTCAGACCTGGTACGGGATGGTTGACTTTGAAATGGTCGACTTTGAAATGGTCTAGCCAGCCACTCAGTTCAAGGGCACTTAGGGATTGGCAACAAATGCTGGCAAGGCCGGTGACGCCTACATCCCATGAAAGGAGAAATAACAATTGCTGGAATTTACTGTTAAATCCAGAGAGTTCAGAAGAGCTTAAAGGCAAGGTGCCATTCCTGGAATATCAATAGAGCAACGCAGGATGTTAAAGAAAGGTAAGAGGGGTCAGAGTGAGATTAGGACAGAAAATTAAAAGAGCAAACAAATCAGAAACTCTGAACTAGGCTTGTGACTGAAGTGTTCAGAAAATGGTCAGACAAATTATATTTGATTTCTCCATTTTCAATAGCACTACATTGCAAATAGCAAATGCAGTAGATCCCTTCCCTCTGCCTAATTACAGATACACAATCTTTGCTTTACTAAATTAGGAGGTGCAGAGGAAAGCTTTACTTGCAAAGCATAGTTTTCCTCAACTTTAACCCAAAATCAAAAATATACTTTGAAGTTTCCATTTTTGTTGAAAACACAGGTTATCAGGTAAAACAGATTATGCATTCACAAACCAGATTATCCCAGTGATGTCAACTGCATGCACCCACTGGAGCACAACGTGCAGTGTCAATTTTTAAAATGATGCAGCAATGACTGAAGACTCTGAACACAATATTGAGAACTACTCTGTCTACCATGCATCTCAGGCAGATTACCGCACATTGAGGGAAATCAAAGAATTTCATTCAGCAATACCGCCCACCAGAGACACAGCATGACCAGTAATCAACTTACAGTTCCACTAAGGCATGGGCCCAAACCCAGAATTTAAATTTACAGTGTTAATATAGAAACTAGGGGGCAGCAGTAGGCTATTTTGCCCTTCAAACCTGCTTCACCATTCAATATGATTTTGATGGATACTTTATCTCAATGCCAAATTCTCATTTTTTCCTCCATAACCCTTGATGTCTTTAAAATCTAAAAATTTATCTCTTCCCCAAATATATTCAGAGATTTAGCCTCCAAAATGTTCACTGGTAGAGAATTCCACAAGTTGACCATCCTCCGAGTTAAGAAATGCTTCCTAATCTCAGTCCTAAACAGTCTACCCCATATACTGAGACTGTCGCCCCGGTTCCAGACTTCTTGTACAGGGAAAATGTCTCTGCATCAAGTCTGTGCTGCTCCGTTTGAAACGTATAAAATTCTATCAGATCCCCTCTCATCCTTCTAAACTCGTGAATAAAAAAACAAACAATCTCTCCTCATAGAAGGTCCAGCCAGTCATTGTATCAGCCTAGGGAACCTCCACTGCACTCTCTCCTGTGGCAAGGTAGGGAGACCAAAACTGCATTCAATCCTCCAGGTGTCACCTCACCAAGGTCCTGTATAACTGCAGTAAGTTACTGATATCTCACTCATGTTCCTGCCCATTAGAGAATAAGTGCTTCCCTTCTAGCAGAGAGGAACCAGAACCTCACCTGTACCACCACCAGCATAACCCCAGCCTCTCCTCACCCAAAGACACTGTCTCAAAGCAAGGTGTCCACAAGTCCGAGAACTGGATGTTACTGGTCCTTTGCCCAAAATAGTGAACCAGTGACAGTGAGTGACCGCAAACACAATATCAACACATCTTTTATTACTCACATGTTTGAAGCAGCTGACAGGAGCGGCTTGGCATTTGTGCTCGTCGATATATTTTCCCCATTCAAATCCTTGGTTAACAGCTTAAAGGGAAGGGGCAAAGAGAAGAGTTATTGGGGAAAGCTGGGTTTGCAGTAGGTAAATAGGTAATAAAACTTGTGCCGAGTTCAAAACAGATTCAAGCTCCACCTGTAGCAATGAGGAAAGGAAGGTGTTGCCACAGGCTGCTGTCCTGCTGCTAACACAAGAAATGTTATTTTGTAAGGACAAACAGCGACAGGGAAAATTCAAGGCAACTGTCTTCTAGATGCTCGTCCATCCCCTGGTAGCCACTTGAATAGCAGCACTTCTAGGAAGTTGTCTTCTCTCTCACCAACAACTTAAATTTATATAGCATTGATTGATTTATTGTTGTCACATGTACCGAGATACAGTGAAGAGTATTGTTTTGCATGCTAAATCGGCAGATCACACCATAAAAAAATACATCAGGGTAGCAGAACAGAGTGCAGAATAGTGTTACAGTTGCAGAAAAGGTACAGAGAGAGACCAGAATTAGTATGTGAGAGGTCCATTCAAACAGTCTAATAACAGCAGGGATGCAGCTGTTTTTGAATCTATTCAAACATGTATACAAATTTTTACTATCTTCTGCCCAACGGAATTGTTTAATGCAATGACACCCCCAGGGGCTTCACAGTAAATTACAAAACAAAGTATGTAATTCAGCCATATAGGTAGACACATGAAGCCAGATGAGTTTTTATAAAAAAGGGTAGGATGTAACAAGAATCTTGCTGGAAGAAAGTAAGGTGTAGAGGTAAAAAGGTCTGGTAAGATGATTCCAGAGCTTGGGGCCAATGGACCTGAAGGCTTGGTCATCAATGGTGCAAAGATTAAGGTTGGGAATGTATAAGAAGTCAGAATAAGAGCAGACAGACATCTTGAAGTTAGTGGGCCTGAAGGAGGTAACTGAAATAGAAAGGGGTGAAAACAAAGATTTAAAAACAGCAATAATTTAAAAATAAAGACGTTGCTTGACTGGGAGTCATTGTAAGTCAGCGTGTGCAGAAATAACAGGGGAACAGAATTTGGTGCATGTTAAGAAACAGACAGCAGTAGTTTGGATGAGCTCCATATTTACAAAGGCTGAAATGAGAAACCAACCAGAGTGTGGGGAAATAGTCAAATGTAGAGCTTATGAAAGCCCGAGTGAGGGCCTCAGAAGTGGGAGAGCCGAGACTGCGGCAAAGTCATATGATGTTATGGAAGAGGAAGAAAGCAGTATTGGTGATGGCACAAATGAAGCAGAAGCCCATCCAGGGTTTAAATACAACTCAAAACGCTGTGAATAGGGTGGTTCAATCTCAAGACTATTGTTGGAAGAGGGATACAGTCAGCAGCAAGGGAAGAGGGTTCAAAGAGGCATTCAAGAACAATGGCTTCAACCCTTCAAGTATTTATTCTATGGAAATTCTGTTCATTCAGTACTGGATGTCAGATAAGTAGTCTGATAGTTTAACAACATGAAAGAGTCAGAGACGGTGTTGAGGTCGACCTGGGTGGGGAAAGTATGCACGTATAAACGGACACTGGGCTTTCGGATGGCATGGTCGAACGGGCAGCAAGTATGTGATAGATAGGAGGGAACCAATTATAAATCCTTTGTGAACGCTGGAGATAATGAACAGGAGTGAGAAGACTTTGCAAATGATTTTCTGATTAATATTAGACAAGAACGGAACCAGGTGAAAGGAATCTTACCACATAGGATGATAGTAGAGAAGAATTGTGTGGTCAACCATGTGAGAAGTTACAGAAAGATCAGGATGGAAGCAGGAAACATTTTAGCCTTATGATGGTCTTGCAGAATGTCAGTTACAACTCTGATAACCATAGACTAGAGAAAGGAAGATGAAGTCACAACTCCCTAGTACCCAACACAGCCAGTGAAAATTAAAGATCTTGGATTTGAGTGTTGACCCAATTCCTGGGTTCTGAGTGCAATGCTCTTGTTGTAATCCTGACTGGGCTAGCTGGCGCCAGCAACATCGTAACTGACCACAATACCTTGGAAGAACAGGGGGGTGCAAAAATGTCATCCTGTTTCTAACTGATACTTTCCGGTTTTGTCATTAAGATCTGCTCAGTGAAGATGCGACAACCCTCACCTGGGAATCCTCATCTATCCAACCCATCATCTGGATAAATGGAAAAGGATGAAACTAAAAGGTTAATCTTTTTCCAGAGATTCGTTTATTTACAGAATGCAGCGACACACGTCTGCATCCTTCCTGCTAACTTAGTGGCTCAGTGTTTCTTTGTTTTGGAAAACAAATTACTAATTAAACAGATCAATTAATAAACAGCTCCTTAAAGGAGCAGTGAACCAAACTAATCTTTAAAGGAAACTTAGTGAATTCAATTAAAACACCCCTAACAGGACTGATGAAGCACTGCAGTGTCCAGCTGGCTTTGAGATACATTTCTCAACAGTTTTCAACCATCAAATCGATAGAGAGTTAATCTTTGGTGACTAAAGAAGCAAAGCACATCAAGGTCAGTAACAGCATGTTTGGTATAAGTGGCTGACTTCTGTACATGTGCCGAAAATGATGAATAAAAATAAACATCAAGCCAGTTTATACTTAACCATAGAACCTTCTAAGCCACCAGGACAGACAACGGCAACAGAAACATGGTAACACCACCACCTGCACATTCCCCTCCAGGCCACACACCATCCTGGCTTGGAACAATATTATCATTCCTTCACTGTCACTGGGTCAACTTCCTTCCTAACAGCACTGCAGGTGAACCTGCACCTCAGTGCTTCAAAAGAAAATAGCTCACCACCACTTTCTCAAGAGCAATTATTGATGGGAAATTGATGTTAGCTTAGTCAGCGACGTCCACATCCTCTGAAATGAAGACTAAACCGTACAACTAACATCATATTGATGCTCCCACCCTGTGTATCATGGCTCACAGCTAAGAATGGTCACTTGGTGAAGTATCAAAGAAATCATAGAAAGATGTCCTGTACAAACAAGGCAAAGACTGTAATAATCCAAAAGTACAACACAATAGCAATCTGTAACAAGATAAGACAAGCCTTACCCGAATTGTTACTCTGAGCAACATCTGTTCCCTTCCCACTGGACTGCTGCTGCAGAAATGCCCCCAATTTAGATGACCATGAGGCTTTGTTTAACACTTTTGCCTTCTTTGTAGGTGGTTTTCCCTGTGAAATAAACAGAATTCATCTATGAAAAATGTGGCTTCCAACTGAAAAAAAAATACTTCTTTAAAAAGGATGGGAGAGGAGGTCAGGTTTTGCAGATTTTCACTTCAGAAATCTGGAGTAAGAATACATACACATGCACAATCAATTACAGTCACTTGCAAACAGGGCCATATATGCAGACACCCAAACAACTTCTTGCAATAATAAGTGTTGATCACTATGCATTGACTCCTGTATGAATTTGCATCTCTGGACATCACACAAGGATATGTACAGACTTGTTGACATCAAACACAAGCTTTCCATTCTTTTCAGAAACACATCAAAAAGGAACACAAATAACAGAGGAAGAAATTACCTAACTTCCTCTGATCGGGTGCCAAATATTTACAGGTACATAAAAACCAGAAAGCCTTCATCACTTGGAACAGGCTGTTTTCCCAAGCAGGAGACTCCAAATCATTGAACACCATCAAGCAAGATTTGGATCTGGTTAGAGCAAACTCACCGTTTCCACAAAAAGTGGGTAATATGGAGATGTGAGAGTCTCCCTCTGTGAATAGGATTGTGTTTAATCTGGATTTTCTATTACTTCTACATGGGTTGGAGGGATTGCGAAGTGTATTTCTCATGATGAACAATATTTCTGAGTGGGGTAAGCCTGGATGAACCAAGGGTCTTCAGATTTCACTATTCAAACATAACTAGGTGACCCAAACATAAGCATAATCACACTGAGAAACGAACTGGCTCACTAGGCTACGGTTAGATTAAGATGTAGTTGCAGACATTTAAAGGGATATTTCAGAATACCCAATGAATATGTTCCTACAATGAAGTAAAGTTTCATGTGTAGGACCCACCATCTCTGGTTAACTAAAGAAGTCAGAAACAGCAAACTTAAGGAAAAAAACATAACTGGGCAAAGATGAGAAGCAGCTCAGAATATAAAGAATTACTAAAAGGTTAATCAGGAGGAAGAAATTAGATTGAGAGAGAAAGCTAGTTAAAAATGTAAAAACAGATGGCAAGAATTTTTACAGACATTTAAAAAACAAAATGACATGTGTAGGTCCTTCCGAGACTGAGAATGGAGAGTTAATAGACAATAAGGAAATATTGGATGAAATGAACAAATATTTTGCTTCTGTCTTCACAATCATTCCAAAAATAGCTACAAATTGGGAGGTGGAAGGAAAACAGGAACTTCCTGAAATTACAATTGTGGGAGAAGTCAAATGAGCAAACTGATGGAGCTGCAGTTGATAAGTCTCCAGGTCCAAATGGACCTCATCCTTAGGTGTTGAGAGAAGTTGCTAATGAGCAGTTGGCTTTAATTTTCTAAAACTCCCTAGATTCAAGAAAGGTTCCACCAGACTTAAGTAGCAAATATAATGTCTGCTCAGTCAGTTAGCTGGATGTCGGTCGAGGGGAACGCATTGGAATCGCTCATTAAAAAGGTTAAAACTGTGCACTTAAGGTAATTGGGAAGTGTCAGTATGGTTTTGTGAAAAGGAAATTATGTTTAACCAATTTAACAGACTCCCTTGAAGAAGTAACGTGTGTTGTTAACAAAGAGGTGCCAGTAGACATACTGTACTTGGAATTCCAGAAGGCAATAAGGTACCACATCAAAGATTATTGCAGAAATGAAATATCATGATGTGGGGGCAAATTCTTAGCATGGATAGAGGATTGGCTGGTTGCCAAAAAGTTAGAGCATGAGTGAATGGGTTTTCATCTAATTGGTACAATGTAACAAGTGGAACTCCACAGGGGTCTATGCTAGAGGCTCATCTTTTTGCAAAAACCAATGACTTAGCTTAGGGAGCAAAGACATTTTCGCTAAATTCACACATGACACACAGATCAGCAGAAATGTATGTTGTGAAAATGATAAGGAGGTTGCAGAAGGATATGGATATATTGAATGAATGTGAAAACATGAAGTTGCTAATTTTGGCAGGAAGTATGAAAAAAAGCACAGTATTGCTTAAATGGAGAATGACCGTGGAATATCAAGGCGCAGCAGGATTTAGGTGTTCTGGTGCATGAATCACAAATAGTGGGCAGGCACAGCACGTAATCAAGGCAACTAACAGGATGTTATCCTTTACATTGACAGGAACTGAACATACAAGCAAGGATGGTATGCATCGGTTACTCAGGACATTGATAAAACCACATCTTGAATACTATGCGCAGATTTGGTCTCCATATTTAAAGAAGGAAATAAATGCACTGCAGGCAGTTCAGAGGATATTTACAAGATTGATACCAGGAATGAGTGAGCTGATTTCTGAGGATAGTTTAGACAGACTAGACTTGTTCCACTGGAGGTCAGAAGAGCAAGAGGTGACTTGACTGAAGTGTATAAGTTTCTAAGTAATCTTGACAAGGTGAACATGGAAAGGAGGTTTCCTCTTGTGCGCGAGTCCAGAATGAGGTGGAGTTATTTTAAAATTAGGGGGCTGCCCTTTTTGCACAGAGATGAGGAGAACTTTTTTCTCCCAAGGGGTTGTGCGACTTTAGAACTCACTGCATCAGAAGCAGTGGAAGTGGAGTACAGTGAATAACTTTTCAGCAGAAGTAGATAGATTCTGGTTAGGCAAGGGAATTAAGTGTCATCAGGGGTAGATTGGAATGTAGAGCTCAGAACACAAATGGGTGAGATACCAACTCTCAGACTATTGTTCCATCTCTATGATTTTCTTTAAGCAAACCTGCAGAACTAAGGCAACAGGTCAGATTATGCAAGCAAATGGGAGTATTCAGTATAGCACATTGAGGCAGGCCATTGACATGACTGCAAACTAACCTGCAATCTAGCCAAGATACTGGCTTTCTTGGAGTTGGAAGAGTAGCTTCGAGAACAGGAGACACTGCAGAATCTTTTGGTTTTGGAATAGAAGGTTTCTCGTGCTCCAACAATGCCACACATCTCACAGGTAGCTTGGAAGAGGAAACAAAAATTCAAAAAGACACAGGGATAAATGAAAATTAGGATCAATGCAATTTTTAACCAGGCAACTAAAGCGGGTTAAAAAGTTAAAAGTAGTGACGGAAATCTTAAGGAATAAAAATGGAAAATTGGTGCAATCAGCATCCAAAAGAGAAAGACAGGTTCAAAGGTCAAGTGCAATCCTTCATCCATTAGCTTAGCAAAAGGGTACATGTATTTTTTTGAATGCCAAGTGTTTTGCACAATGTACATCAATGAAGTGATTTTCAGCTGTAACACTGATATTTTCACATATGCCTAAAGTTGTCCCAGCTCTCCCCATTCTGAAAATATTTCAAGTTATCTTTTGTCTCTAAAATAGATAATCTCACACTGAACTCTTACTGGTTTCCTAGACTAAAAAGTGAGAAACTGGCAGAAGTGCTGGTAACCAGAGAACATATTTAATTTAACTGAGATAGCAAGAACTGCAAATGCTGGAGTCAGCGACAACACAGTGTGGAGCTGGAGGAACGCAGCAGGCCAGGCAGCATCAGAGGAGCAGGAAAGTTGACGTTTCAGGTCGGGACCCTTCTTCATTTTCTAAAGAAGGGTCCCAACCTGAAACGTCAATTGTAATTTAACTGAATTTTTTAAAAACCCAGGGCAAGTGACAAGTAGATTTCCCACCATCCACTCACAACAAGCACTGTGATGATTCAAAATGCCTTATCGGGAAGGGGAAACAAAAGATAAATTTTGCAAGGGGAGGTTTTGGGAATGTGGCAAATATTGACTATTAACCCAAAGACCAAAACAATGCTCTGGGCTATGGATTCAAATTCCACCATCAAGCTGGTAGCATTTAGATGTGATTAGTTAATAAATAAGATGATAAATTTTACCTCCACATCACCTCCCATTTCAACTGTGGTCAATTGTTGTAAAAAACCATTTGGTTCACTGATATCCTTTAAGGAAGGAAATCTGCTGTCCTTACTAGCGTGGCCTACATTCACTCCCTACCTACAGTGATGTGCTTTATCCTTAACTGACCCTGAAATGGCCTAGCAAGACTCTTAGCTCAAGGACAATTAGCAAATGCTAGTCTAGGTAGCAACACCCATAAATGCCCATTAAAAGACTAATACTTTATGAATCTATGAACTGCTAGTTTGTCCACTCAGTTAAATATCAGGAGCTTCTTGCCCCTTTGGATCCTCCCAACTAGTGACTGCATTCACTGGTTTCTTACTGATCAGCAAATGGCAGCTCCCTTAAGATGGCTTCTGACTTGGTCCTGGTCCTGGTCCTGGTCCTTAACTGCCACGGCCATAATTCTGATTTACTGTCAGCACAAACAAATCCAATGGTTCAAAGTCTTCCCAACTCTTAAGCATTAACACAACAAAAAGTACCAATTCTAAGTCCTCCATCAATAGATGACTCATCATCATTTATCGCTCCACATATCGACTCCGTATCCATGTCCTGCACCTGACCAAGTTCCTCATCTTCCAGGTCATTGCTCGAATCATCTGTGGTGAGGTTTCTATTGCTGTCACTGCCATCGTCTTCCAGACTATCATATCCATCAAACACGCTGCAGTCATCATCTTCAACATCCATGAAGGACATTTCTACACCATCTGGAGGTACAAAAACAAAAATCACATCACTCAGATCAGAATACAAGCTATATAGATGAAAATTTTCTTAGCATCCTTACAGAAGGAGGAGTGAAAGGTCCACTGAATTAGACCGGTTTCAGTCCAAGTCCAATAGAGTAAGGCTATATTATCATATTACCCAGGATTTTCCCCAGCACAATGGCTGGTGGCGTTCCCTTCAGCTGTTGTGACATGTACATTGCTAAATGGTGCAAGGATAGGTGTCTGCTGCCAAGGTTGTAATAATCCAGGGACCAACAGGACAGAAACTGGATAAACATTCAATGCCCCTCCCACAGCCCATCTGTTGCAAAACACCTCTTCCATAATTTAGTTACCTCCCGGCCCAAATATTCCAATGCTCTCCAGGGCAGCCTCAGTCCTTCCATCCTCTGCAAAAGACTGCTCATTCATAAGAGCATAGGAACTAGGAGCAGGAGTAGGAGTAGACAATTTAGCCCCTTGAGCCTGCTCCACCACTTAATACGATCATGGCTGATCTCATCTTGGCCTCAACTCCATTTTCTCCCTGCTCGCCATTAGCCTTCAATCCATTACTAATTAAAAATCCATCTGTCTATCTCCTCCTTAAATTTACTCAATGTTCCAGTACCCATCATACTTGGGGTAGTGAATTCTGCAGATTCATGATCTTTAAGAGATACATAAATTTCTTCTCATCTGTTTTAGACCTTAAGACCTAGGAACAGGAGTAGGCCATTTGGCCCCTCAAGTCTGTTCCTCCATTCAATAGGATTCCCATTGAATGGTGACACTACCTGACAGAGAAAACTATGTTATCACCCATGGGCTGGTATGTGTCATCATAACAATCATTCAACACAGTGGCTGAAATGTGAAGTGACTCATTCTGGTAAGAAAAACAGGGACAGACAACGGAAAACAAAAGGACAATATTCTAAAAAGATTGCAGCAGTACAGCAGTGAGTGTACACCTCTATGTGATTCAGTCATTGAATGTATCAGGATGGACTGACAGAACATTTAATAAAGCATACAATACCCTTTATTGAAAGGGGCACAGAACAAGAAAACCATGTTGAACTTCTATAGAACATTAGCTCAACCTCAGTTGGAGCATTCCACCCAGTTCAGGGGACTGCAATTTAGGAAGAATGTGAAAGCATTGGAAAGAGTGCAGAAAAGATTTGCCAGAATGATTCCAGGGATGAGGAAGTTCAGTTATGAGGATAGCTTGGGGAAGTTAGGACTGTTGAAAGCCAAGAGGAGGTTTACTAGAGGTATTCATAATGAAAGGTCTGAACAGAATAGATAGGGAGAAACTGCTCCCTTTTGTAAATGCAGGTGCAGTGTTGCCAACTGCATGGGTTCAGTTCCCATACTGGCTGATGTTATCAGGAAGGTTCCTCTTTCTCAACCTCACCCTGGATGGGTGCATTTATAGGAAGGGTTTAGAGGGATAATGGGCCAAATGCTGGCAAATGGGTCTAGATCAGTTTAGGATATCTGGTCGCATGGACAAGTTGGACCAAAGGGTCTGTTTCCATGCTGTACATCTCGAGGACCCTACATGGCAGCCTCTGTGGGGAGAGAAATTGGAAGCGGACATTAGGGGGCAGCACAGTGGCTAGCATTGCTGCCTCACAGCAGCAGAAACCCTGTGGAGTTTGGACATTCTCTCCGTGTCTGCTTGGATTTCGTCTGGGTGCTCCTGTTTCCTCCTACAGTCCAAAGAAGTGCAGGTTAGGCAGATTAGCTATGCTAAGATTACCCATGGAATATGCAGGCCTACAGGCATAGGGTGGGGAGTGTCAGTCCAGGTAGCAAGTTCTTTGGAGGGTCAGTGTGGACTTGATGAGCCAAATTACCTACTTCCACACTGAAGGGATTCTATTAAAAAAAAACTAGAGATGCTGGAAATCTGAAACAAAATAAAAACAGAAAATGGAGAAACTCAGCAGGTCTGGCAACATATATGGACAGAAAGCAGTAGCAAAGTTCTGAATCCAGTAACCCTTTTTCAGAAGGGTTATGCAGCAATTTCTGTATTGGTTTCAGGGTAAATTAGACAATGTGTTGCAGTCATAGTTCACTGTTACTCATTGAACAAAACAAACACCAGGGACTGCAGACATTAGATTAGTAAACGGTGCAGCATCTGATAACATTGTAACGAGATGAATGCTTTGTCTAGAACCTGTGGATCGAACCCTGACTGCACAGACTTTTAGCAACATTAAAAAAAAACTCCAAGACCTATTATCACTCACGTGGACGTCCCAGTCTTAGCAACAATGTCTCTCTGTTTACTTGCAAATTTCACTAACTGGAAACAAACTCGCAAGAAGGGAGAACATTACAAACACACATACTCTAGTTTCTACAATTTGTAGTTGAGGTATCATCGACTTTAAAAACAGCTTCATTTGTCTGAAGCAGCTAGACTTTTAGTCATTATTCATCCTAAAGCTCACCTCATAAATTGCACAAACTATCTTATTTATAATTAATTCAGCACACTTTCTTTCAAAAAAAAAACACAAAAGACTCACAATCTTGTTCCTCCTCTTTGTGCAACTTAATGATCGAATTCAGGCACACAACGCCGCCATTCTAGGACGGATCATTTCCTTATAACGTGCTCTCTCATTGGAGCGGGCCACAACCCCCGCCAACCAATGGAAAGAACTAGAATGGGGTAGGCGCTACCGAGCACTCTGGGAGATGTAGTCCATTAGCATGAATGGACAATTCCTAACCCTGCTGAAGAAAGGTCTAGGCCCGAAGCGTGAGCCTTCCGGCTCCTCTGATGTTGCTTGGCCTGCTGTGTTCATCCAGCTCTACACCTTGTTATCCCTGCTGTAGGCAGTGTAGGTTTTCCACCGCAAACTAAATTATCCAATGTTTTGAAATAGCCATTTTCTACTCCAAACTAAATTATCCAATGTCTTGAAATAGCCATTTTCCACTGTAAATTAAATTATCTAGTGCTTTGAGTAAGCCAACATAAAAATACATGGCAATGCAAATTTCATGCCAAAAAGATTCGAGTAATCACACATTCCGAATTCACATTGAAATGTATAAAATTCTGTAAGGGCTCGATTGGGTAGAGGCTGAGATTGTCTACACTGGTCTTGGGAGTAATAAAATGCAGAAGCACAGTCTCAGGATAAGAGGCCAGTCATTTAGGACTGAGATGAGGAGAAATTAATTCACTCAAAGGGTTGTCAGTCTTTGAATTCCCTACTCAGATGGATGTAGACACTCTATTGTTGAATGTATTTAAGGCTGGGATACACAGTGTTTAGTGTCTCAGGGAACAAGGGATCTGGGGTGTGGATTGGAGAGTGAAGTTGAAGCCCAAGATCAGCCATGATTGTAATGAATGCTGAAAGAGGCTCAACAGGCTGAATGATCTCTTCTGAACATCTAACTTTATAATTTTGAATTATATACAGCACCAAGTGATTAAAAGCAAGCAGGGCTAGGCTCAATGTTGAGTTTTCCTCAATACATAATTTATTTGCAGAAAGTAGGCCTGTATAACTTTCTTCTTTAGTTATTTATTGTAGTTTATTGTGTAGTCAGGGTTAGGGGATGTTTATAAGTATCCCATAATACACTGCACAAATCCATGGACTTTTCATGCAAGAGTTCTTTACTTACAGCAAAATCTGTACATGCATTACATCCTCAGAGGTTGTGACTGTCATATTGGTATTACATCATCAACATTTCAGCTTTGATGTTAATGCCATGACTACAGTTATGGATGCTGTTTGCTACCCAACGTACAGACAATGCAGTATATACCCTTGAGAAGGTGGTGGTGAGTCACTCTCTGGAACCGCTGCAGTCCACGTGATGGAGGTACACCCACAATACAGAGTTGCAGAAATTTGACCTAGCAACAAGGAACAGTGGTATAGCTTCAAGTCAAGAGCTCCTGCAGTGATTTATTTTGGCTGAGATGGTTGACCTCCAGCAAGCTGCTAATTTGTGTTCAGCAGGTGTCCAGGATGACGGCACAAAGCTGAGGCATAAGAGTTGGCTTGGCTTGTAAGGACAGACTGCAAGAACCCTTCCCAACATGTCTGATTACACATCAGCACTTACTAACTCAGTACCAACCCCTACAACAGTCCTTCCCTGGCCAACCCCCAACATCAGCAACTTACACCCCCCCACTACTACCCCAACAAACCCCAACTCCAGGCATATTGTTCCCTGATGTGGATGTGTCCTGTATCCCTTTCCTGAGAGTTGGTCACCCTAGTAAAGGGCAAGTTGCTGCAGTGCATCTGAGTTTCACCGGTGAAAGGAATGATTGCTGAAGGTGGTGGCTAGGGTGCCAATCAAGTAGGCTCCTTTATCCTTGATGTTGTTGAGTTTCATGGCTGCCCGATTGCTGAATACATTTCAGACAAAGGGCAATAGATTCTTGACCAACCTGGCAGTCAGACTTTGTCAGGGGCAGGAAGAAAAGTGGAATTGAGGTCACAGTCAGATCAGCCATAAATCTTATCAAATCACATTCAGGCTCGAGGGGCTGATTGGCCTACTCCTGCACCTAATTCATAAGTTCTTGTCCAGTTGGAAGCCAAGTGGACAGCATTCCATAACATTCCTAACTTGTCCCTTGCGGATGGTGGACAGACTTTGGGGAGTCAGAAGGGAGTTACTCACTGCATGATTCCCTGTCCTTGGTTGGCTCTTATAGTTACAGTATTTTTTATGCCTGTTTCAGTTCAGTTTCAAGTCAATGGTAACCCTAAGGATGTTGATAGTGGTGTTGAATGTCAAAGGGAGATAGTTGGAGTCTCTCTTGTTGAAAATGGTCATTGCCTTACACTTGTGTGACACAGATCTCGCTTGCCTTTTAACAGCCCAAACCTGGTCTATGTCTTGCCACATTTGAATGTGGATTGCTTCAGTCTCTGAGAATTCGTGAATGGTGCCGAACCTTGTGCAATCATCGGCAAACATCCCACTTCTGACTTTGCGATGGAGGGAAAGTCATAGATGAAGCAGCTGGAGGTGGTTGGGCCTAGGACACTACCCTGAGGAACTCCTGCAGAGATGTCCTGGAGTTGGAGAAGATTGCCCTCCAACAACCACTGCCATCTTTCTTTAATTTAAAAGAGAATTTAATCCACCTTCAAATGAGCCATGTTTCTGCAGATTTAATCAGTCTAATTAATAAGAAGGCTTAGAATAGTCTCAGCACCCATCAGTAGTGTGAGGTGATTCACTTTGGAAGGAATAACAGGAATACAGAGTACTGGGCTAATGGTAAGGTTCTTGGTTGTGTGGATGAGCAGAAAGATCTTGGTGTCCATGTGCATAGATCACTGAAAGTTGCCACCCAGGTTGATAGCCTTGTTAAGAAGGCGTACAGTATGTTAGGTTTTATTGGTAGAGGGATTGAGTTTCGGAGCCATGAGGTCACGTTGCAGCTGTACAAAACTCTGGTGCGGCCGCACTTGGAGTATTGCGTACAGTTCTGGTCACTGCATTATAGGAAGGATGTGGAAGCATTGGAAAGGGTGCAGAGGAGATTTACCAGGATGTTGCCTGGTATGGAGGGAAGGTCTTATGAGGAAAGGCTGAGGGTCTTGAGGCTGTTTTCGTTAGAGAGAAGAAGGTTAAGAGGTGACTTGATAGAGACATACAAGATGATCAGAGGATTAGATAGGGTGGACAGTGGGAGCCTTTTTCCTCGGATGGTGATGGCTAGCACGAGGGGACATAGCTTTAAATTGAGGGGCGATAGATATAGGACAGATGTCAGAGGTAGGTTCTTTACTCAGAGAGTAGTAAAGGCGTGGAATGCCCTGCCTGCAAAAATAGTAGACTCGCCCACTTTAAGGGCATTTAAATGGTCATTGGATAAACATATGGATGATAATGGAATAGTTTAGGTTAGATGGGCTTCAGATTGGTTTCACAGGTCAGCGCAATATCGAGGGCCGAAGGGCCTGTACTGCGCTGTAATGTTCTATGTTCTATGTTCTATGTTTTAAAATGTCATCACAAATTCCCAGGCCATAGTTGAATTCTGCTGCTATGAAAAATCCCTGTGCACAAATTACATGGAGTGTGGGAAATGGTGGGGTTCTATTTTAATCGTTTATGGGATGTGAGTGTTTCACACAAGATCAGCATTTGTTGCCCATTCCTAATTACCTACAAACTCAGAGGCTTGCTAGATCACTCCAGAGGAGACGTCCACGACATATCTGAGATCCTGAAACACACATAGGTTGATGAGATAAAGACAGTAGATTATTCTTCCTTCTCAATTTTTATGCGATAATTTAAAGCTCTGTGGCCACCATTACTGAGTTGAGTTTTTAATAACTTTAATAACTTCAAATTTAAACTTCACCAGCTGCCTTGGTGGGCCATACTCTCATACCCCCAGAGTATCAGCCCAGTCCAGGATTACTAGTCAATGACATTACTAGGCCTTTGACTCTCCTGTTAAGAGTGTGGTCTGAAGGGGACTTTTGGTTGCCTTCAGTCCTAGACTGCTGAACATTTGCCTGTTCAGAGGGAGAAGGCTACGTCAAAGGATGGACTATGTGTGATGGAATGCTCCCCACTTGCCTGGATGGGTACAGCTTCAACAACACTCAAGAAGCTCAACACCATACAGGACAAAGCAGCCGCTTGATTTGCAGCATATCCACATACACATAGTCCCTCAACCACCGATATAGCAGCAAGGTGTACTAACTACAAGTTGCACAGCAGAAATTCACCAAAGGTCCTTAGCCAGCACCTTCGAAACCCATGATCAATTCCATCTAGAAGGACTAGGGTAGCAGAACATAGGAGCACCACCCCCTGCAAATTCTCCTCCAAGCTACTCACTATCTTGACTGGGAAATATATTACTGTTCTTTCAGTGTTGCTGGGTCAAAATCCTGGAACTCCCTCCCTAAGGGCATTGTGGGTTTACCCTCAGCACATGGACCACAGTTGTTCAAAAGGGCAGTTCACCACCACCTTCTCAAGGGCAACTAGGGACGGGCAATAAAGCTGGGTCCAGCCAGCGACGCCCACGTCCCATGAGTGAATTTAAAAATGGACTTTGTGTTGGATCTGCTTCAGGGTTTAGCGAGAGATTGTGTGGCTAATTGTAGGTGATTATTCAGACTGCAAGGTATAGAGTGATATTAAGAGCTTTGAGAGAGTTGCCATTTAGCTGGATATGTTGCATTTCAGCCTTTTTGGAACATAGGACCAGCAGTAGGCTATTCAGCCCCTGAGCATGCTCTGCCAATCAATAAGATAGTGGCTGTTGTGGTGTGGTCCCCGTAACCCTTGCTTCCCTTGTAGATCAAACATCTGCCTCATTCAACCTTGAATAAACTCAATGACACACCCTCTGCTGGTAACTGCGAGTAAGGTCTGTAGGCTAAAAACACTCAGAGGAAGATTCTCCTCATCTCTCTTAAAAGTGAAACCTCTTATTCGTAAAGTGTGTGTCTCCTATTTGTAGTCTACCCCCTAAGAGGAAATATCCTCCCAATATTGACCCTATCCTGTCCCCTCAGCATCTTACACATTTCAATAAGTTCATCTCTCATTCTCCTAAACTCCAGTGGATTTAGGCCTAGCTTGCTCAGCACCTTTCTAAGCCT